TTTTGTACTTGTAGGAAGACTTGGTTAGTTTGGGTTAAGGTGCTGAATTGGTGGGGCATAGAAGTTGTCATGTTGAATACAGTTAGGGGAGTGGCAGAATTTTTCTTGTATGATTTGGGTAGAATTATAGGGAAGGAGATGGGTGCATGTGTTTTTCTTGTTGTTGCATGGTATATATGGTATTGGAGGAATGCTTGTGTATTTAAGGATTATGGGAGTATGCGGGAGTGTTTGTTGGATAAGGTACAAATGAAGACATTTTTTTGGATTAAAAATAAGGTAGATGGATGTACTTTTTCTTTTATGAGTGGAAGATGAATCCAGTTGATTGTGCTTTAGCTATAAAATAGTATAAGAGTGTGTTGAAGAGTTTTCAAAAGTAGCATCAACGCTTAGTATGAGTTCTTAATGTAGGCATTCATGAGTTGCTGTTTCTGGTTAGCTTTGCTACTTTTGGCTGTTGGTTTGGTTTGCTAATGCCAATAGTAGTATTTTAACTTTGTATATGGGTTAGAGTACCCTTTGTACTCTTTATAATAATATATTTTCCTTTGTTTTGCTGATAAAAAAAAAAAAAGGAAAGCTATTTTTGAAACTCTAAAACAAACAACCTCTACCTATGTACTCATTGTCATATCTTTCTTAATAATAACAGTTTTGCCTCTTCTTTTTTCCATGCTTTAATTTCTCTACCTATAATGCCGACTGCTTTCAAATATTCTTCTCGCAGAATGCAAGGATTGAAAGAGACTCTTGTAAAGCTATATATAAGTACCAAATATGTATTAATTTCGAGCATTGATGCCGCTTGTAAAGCTAGTGATGAGTTCAAACAAAACTTAATTCATTTATAATTTATGTTTCAGACCAACTTGTGAATTACCTAAAAGATAGTATTTCTTCAAGTTTTCAGGTCTTGTGAATCAAAAGCCGATTTTTTTTTTTTTTAATCGACCCAGATATTTTAAATTTTATTATTTTGGACTACCATTCCTCTTAGCTTTAATTAGGTAGCATATTCCTCTAAATGAATCAAAGGCCGAGTGCAGTATTGCTTTATTCTTTTCACATCTCTACGTGGGACAACCACTCAGACATCTTGAAAGTAATAAGTTTGAGAGCATTTTTGAATGAATAGTAACAACAAATGGCAAACGTAGCATTTATGTTTCTTAAGAATACAAGGCAGCTTTGATATATTTTATATGTAGCGGATTCACGTTTGGATTCCATTTGATTAATCTTGAATTAATGTAACTTCCCATGACAATCCTTCCTGCTGGAGATAATATATAAATTTTCATTTTGTTCCTCTAAGTGAATTAAGGAGAATATATCAAGAAAACTTGAATTAAACAAAAGCCACCGCGCCACATTAACTTTGTTAATAACATCAAGTAATTCTTTACACGTGATATTCATGTCCCTTGCCAATAACTAAGATATGTGCAAGAGAACTCGAACAGTTAAACATTTACTCCATATGAAATAATTGAACTAGCTAAATATATATATATTTTTAAAAAAGATATATATAAGAAGATTTTACATCTCATGTTAAGGTATTATCGTTGCTCAAATAATACTTCTACATGAGATGCAAATGTTTCTAATGAGTGATTTTCTTTTGGCTTTGAATTTAGAGTATAACGTGTTTCTTTAGCATAACTTAAAACTCCATTGTTCCTTCCTTTGTCTCTACCACATTCTCATTTTAAACTTTTTTCAACTTTTCCACGGTTTAGCTTTATTAATTAATTGGGCAAAGTAGAGATGCTGTAATCTACTTTTTCATGCCGTTACCGGCTATAAAACCACGAATCATACACATCAAATTAAGGCCGCTAATAAAGAAGAAACTATTCGTCAATTCAACAGGGTGACAAAAAAAAAGAAAAAAGGAGTGATGGCGAAAGAAGTAGTTTTGGCTTCCATTAGGAGTGGTCCAGAAAATGTCGAGGTAATGAAGGAGCCATATGAAAAGGCCTTGAAAAATGAGTGGGAAAGCATTAAAACAGTGTATCAAAACAAACGCGGTGCTTTATTCCATAGCCTCACTCCTAGGGGAGATACTGTTTTCCACATTGCAGCATACAAGGGGAGCATAGAACTGCTCCGAGTCCTCTTTGAAATGGTTCCGGAGCCTAGAAAATGGGAGGTGTTGACGATGAAGAACATTCATGGCAACACGCTTCTCCATGAGGCGGCCACGAGCAAGAATGTTGAGGCAGCAAAATTTTTGCTTGAGAATGCGGATGGAGAACAAGCGGCGATGCTGATGAACCAAAATGAGTCAGGGGAGACACCGCTGTACAGGGCTGCGGCGCTTGGTGCTAAAGCAACTGTGGAGTACTTGGCAAATGCGGTGGAAATGGAAGTGGGAACTCTGCAAGGCAACTTCATCAGAGGCTATGATAATCTCCCCGTTCTTCATATTGCTGTTTCAAATGAACAATTCGGTATGTAATGCTCATTGATTTTAAATTAAAGAACTAATATAGGAAAGATGTTGATGTTTTACATTCCAGACTATAATATATCAATTGAGTCTGTCCTTAAACCCACTAATCAAGGGATTGTAGTTTGGGTCATTTGAACTGCAAAACACGTTTTCCTTTAAGAAATGCATGAGAATTCTCTTTTAAATGCAGAGACAGCAATTTGGTTACTAGACAAAGATCCAGAGTTGGCAATGTTGAAAGATTCTGACAAGACATGTCTTCACCTTCTCGGAAGCATGTCGACTGCTTTCAAAAGTTCTTCTAAAAAAATATCTGGATTCAAGGAGTTCATCTATAGATGTAAGTTCATTGCAAATGACAATCATATAGGCAAAAAAACACACATGAAGTCCAGTGCCATTGACTAGATTTGGCGTATTTTATTTTCAGTTATTCCAAACGACTTACTCTATAGCGATGAAACTGATCAGCATGTACCATGTCAGTGCTGCAAGACTAGAAAAGACCATCAACCAATGACAGGTAAGTAATATAAGTATGTGTCAATTTCAATCATTCATGCCTCTTATAAAGTGATGATAAGTTGCAACTATACTTGAATTTGCAAATTTTCCTTTATGCAGGTTTTAGCATGCACTCTTGTTTTTGGAATCATTTTAGGATTCGCTTTTGGAGGTTTCTTGAAGGTACGCACTATGCCCTCTAATAATTTCTTCATTTACTTTAAATCCCTTTTTGGTTTGAGGGGAGGAGAATAAAGCAAGGCAAATGTGTTAACCTCCACTTGTTTCTATTTCCTTTAAATTAAAGATATCCTTACCATTTGTAATCTAGATATATGGTGTTAATGAAAATGGTTAAAAATGCAATAAACTAAGAATCAAAAAATCCTTTTATGATTTACTATAAATTTTTAAATAAAATTTATTTCTTTTAGAATGGAATTATATTAAAGAAATAAGGGAAAAGAAGAGGAAGTATGAGTTAGTAGGTATATTGGCCGATGCGCTAGTAAAGAAGGATTCTTCCTCGTGGCGTAATTACTACAAATCAGAAGTGTACAACACCAATATTTGCTTTTTAAGAGACAAAGAGACAGTTGGCGGAGAAGAGAGTGGTGAGGCGTCGTCCCAAACCGGAGGTATTGGCACCGCCGTTGTGTCACCGTCGGATGCTCCGTTAATTATCGCCGCCAGCACAGGGATTCTGGAGATCGTGGAGATGATTCACAAAGAGTATCCTCAAGCGTTGGAGCATGTGACTCAGAATGGACAGAATATTCTACATGTGGCCATTCTATACCGTCAATACCATATCTATGAATATCTCAAGGACAAGGAGAAGGGTGGAGCGATGAACTTGAGGCTGGCTTTAGGGATGGACAATGACGGTGAAACCATTCTGCACAAGGCCGCTCGTACCGAATACTACCATGAAGGAAACAAATGGACGGTAGCTCTGAACCTGCAAGAGGAGATAACATGGTTCAAAGTCAGCCTCTATGAATTGCTTCTTTAAATTCATTAATTAACATTAAATCAAAATCAGCCTCTATATATATTTCTTCAAAAGAATTGTGAATTATTGTTGTGATTTTGCAGGATGTGGCAAAAATGCTTCCTGCTTCTTACACAATCCACCGCAACAAGAAAAATAAGACGGCGAGGCAGCTGTTCAAAGACCAGCACAAAGAACAACTCAAAGACGCACAAGAATGGGTCAAGAACACCTGTCAGTCATGCTCCGCCGTGGCAGTCCTAGTCGCCACAGTTGTCTACACTGCCGCTTTCACCGCGCCAGGTGGTTTCAATGGTAATTAACTGAACTTCTTTTATCTTCTCCTTAAGAGAAATAAAATTCTACTTGTCATTTACATGCTGCCATATCAATTTTTTTTTTCTTTTAAATGTTTTGAAGAATACGGACGCCCAATCTTTGAGGAGCGACCTCTATACTCTTTTTTCACTGTGGTGGATGTGGCCGGACTGGCGAGCTCATTAACGTCGGTGGTGCTCTTCCTTTCAGTGCTCACATCGTCACTTGATCTGAAAGATTTTAAAAATGACATACCTCGGAAACTGTCGTTTGGCTTCCTCTTTCTGACCTTTGCCATTGCAACCACCGTTCTTTCGTTCACAGCTGCCATTATCCTCACTGTTCATTTGAAGAAGGCATGGACTACGTCTCTGACCTACGCTGCTGCATTCCTTCCGGTCGCCGTCTATGCGATTGTGCAGTGCGGTTTGTATATTAAATACTTCAAGATTGCCTTAATTAGCATTTTTGACTTTGTGAAGAAGTTTCTTCCAGGGATATAATGTATGTAATTATATTGTTTGTGTATTTTTTCTTTTTTTTAAAGTGCTATGTAATGTTGAGATTGTTGAAGAAGTTTCATAGTGTTAGAAAACTGAAGAAAAGAGAAAATACAAAGAAATTAATTGTTTTTGATACTGTCAATGGTCAGTACGAGCTCACACCTACAAGCCAAGGTCCTCAAAAACTCAAATTTAAGTTGTTAGTAGTAGTTGGTCTATATATATATACATATATACTAATTATATTCATACTTCTATTCTAATGTGGAATTTGAAGTATTACAATAATAGAGGAGTAAAGCCCATGAAATAGTGTCACTTTACAAGGTGAAGAATGTGAAGAACAATAAAGTAATGACTAGAGCTAGGAGCAACCTTAGAGTAACTAACAATGCAAATTGCATTTTTTATGTTTAGACGTGTCATGATAAGATAAACTAAACTTTCAACTAGTTATAGATAGCAAGTAGGATAAAAAAAGTGAAGAACTATCCATTGGTGTAAGCTTAGCATTATTATAATTATTTGTGCTCAAATGGTGTTGAAGAGATTCAAACATTCATTCTCTAGTTGGTTCGAGTATTCATTAACTTGTTGAGGTAATCTCAATGGATTACTTGTCATTTCAATTATTTTTTAAAAATATGAACTAAGTATGATTTTTCCTTTTAATATGAAGGAAGTATGAGAAAAGGTGCAAATAAATGTACAAACTTTATTATTTTTTCTATTTAAGGATGCAAACATACAAATTTTGTCAATTTTTCTATGAAAAATGATTGGTATAGTCTGCAAAGTTACACACTCTATTACATACTGACGGTTTTCGTTACTTGTAATGTTAAAACTAATGGTTCCATTACTTGTGTCATTAAAATTGATGGTTTCTATTATTTGTACTGTTAAAACTAATAGTTTTCATTACACACTAACGGTTTCTGTCAATGTGTAATGGAGTATCACTACAAGAATTCACGACTTCACCGATGAAAAAGCATGTCGGAAAGAAAGGAAATCACGTCGGTTAAACCAACTTCCCACATGAATCATGTCGGTAAACTACTTGTCGTTGAAAGTGGCCTCGGTAATTTATTTACCAACGTGGATTAAAGCTATGTCGGTGAGGAGACTGCCAATTACCGACAAGAAACATGTCTCCACCAGTAAGCCAGAACAATATTACCGGAGATTTTTTCTGGTAACCCACGTCGGTAATTTACCGACAAAGATCACGTCTCCAAGTACAACAGTGCCTCTAAAGGTGTGCTATGTCGCTAATTCCCCGAGGAAGAAACTGTATGAAAATTTTAATTTACCGACAAGATTAACATCGGGAATGAAGAAAGCCATTTTTCGCTTCAACAGCTTATCGACGAAGATCACGTTGGTCCAGGAGGACTCCAAAAGGAAATTAACAATTTAAGAAGGGTAACATTGGTAAAGAAAACCACTGAAATAAAAAAAAAATTCTTGAATTAATATTGAAATTAATATATATTTTTTATTTAATTCAATTAATTTACAGTTAAAT